GTAAAGTACTGTTTATTAATGCATATTACTTAAAACTCAAGATTGCAAGTAGATTGTGTGTAAGTACAACTTATTAAAGCTTCATATCTGAATTCGTGTAACTAACTGCWGATAAACATAATCAAATACAGGATAAACATCTCATTTTAAATATAAAAAATCTAAAATATAATTATGATAATTATTGAGTTATAACAGAATACTTAATTATAATATTTATAAAATGTTATATTATTAAACCAAAAAAAATTATATTAAACTTCAATTAAATTATAATAAAAAGATAAATTAAAGAAATTACGTAAAAATGAGAACTTTTAAATAGTTGTTTTGATATTAACATTGATATATTTTTTTTCAAATTTTTCTGATATATTCAAATTTATATTTTATTCAAAAATAAAATCATTATTGCTTTCTTAAAAAACACATAAAATCGTATTATAACATCGTCGGAGACAAATAAAAAAATAAAAATTAAAATCGAAATGTGTCTCGTTGCATTACGCAAGTACTTTTCTAGTATTTTTTTAAAGAATTTATTAAAAATATTTTAAGTACAGTTAATGTGTGGTAATTATATACTAAAATTGGATTGTTTTAAAAATAATATTTTTTTAAAGGTAAAAATATTGTGATAATGTTATTAAATTGAATTATAATAAACTACAATAATAAATTCATATAATAATCAAAATATATTTTTATTAACTGTATCTAAAATATTTTTTACTAACCGTATTTAAATATTTTTTAATAAAGAAATTTAAAAAAATATGTTAGTCACAATAAATTTTAGATTAAATTACATTTTTGGTCCTTGTAGTTTGTCAAAAGATTAATATGTCCCTTCTAACGGTTATTAATTAACAAAGTCAACTACAAGAACCTTTTAAGTGTTGTGAAATCGAAAAATTAAAGATCATCGGTGTAAATAATTTATTTTAAGGATTAAATTCGGAATTTGAGCAAACTACAAGGACTGTCGGTATAATTCACGCTAAAACATAAAATTATAACTTAATATATTATTTATGGAATGTTGAAGTTTTTCCTGACAAGGGAATAATCCAAAATAGTCATGTAAAATATTTATTTTATGATATTTAAAATAAATAAATTATAATATTATTTTCGTACTCAGAGGCAGATGATCATAGGGGCCTTGGCTCCTGGTTTTTTTTCCGATAGAGTAAAGTATCTACAGTCCATTAAGGTTTTAAGTATAAAATTCTTTTGGATCTCTCCACTATTGTTGATTCAGTCTGTTTGTGTTTCGCTTCTGTTCGTATTAAAAGTCTTGAGCTACGTATTTGCATCAAAGATTTTTTTAATGAAGTTGATCTTCGGGTATTTAGGGGCGTTTATACTTTGAAAGCGATAATACGATATTAAATAAATTATAATATAATGATGTCCATGAAATTTTTTCGGGAACAAACAAATCATAAATCTTTTTGAATTGGTTTTGATTGGATGGTTTCACTATCATAAAGAAAGTAAAATGGCAGCCCCTTCACATCAATGGACTCCTGACGTATACAAAGGAGTGCTCGATTCGCATCATTATGCTCGATAAGCATCATTATGCTCGATAAAAGGAATATTTGCGCCATCACCATCTTCAAATAAAGTATTTTCTACGGTAGCAATGATTTGGACGATACGTCCCAGGTTATTTTTTTCAAGGCGTGGAAACCCCATTAATCTTTAAAAACTTCAATGAAAATTATTGAATTCGTAAACGAAATTGATGAAAGACGGTATGAGGTCAGGAAAGAAACCCAAAATATAGTCATGGATTTGTTCCTGTGTTCGGAAACTAAAGCCGATGGTAGGGGAGACCAATAGGGTTGGGGCTTCACCTCTTCATTGAATGATTATGTGCAATTTATGCATTCGAGAACTTATATTCTATGGGATCTGTGATATTCAATTAATCTTAACCTTTCATCATTATCAATCAATGGTTCACATTAATAGTGCTAATTCATTGTAATTATTCATTAATTTCTAGAATTTTTTAAATTTATTGATAATATTTAAGGGTCAATTAGTCTTTTTGTAAAACTTTTGTTTATCCTCTTTTCTCTTTCCTCTCTCTTCTCTCCTCAATCTCTTCTCTCCGTTTTCATAAACTCGTGCCTATCTTGATAGTCCTCATAAACATATTTATAGGGGTGGCAATGGGTCAGGTTGGGTTGGGTTCGGATTCAACTCATTTATTAAACAGGTTGAAAATCTCAACTCAGACCAACCCATTTAATTAAATGGGTTGAGATTTTCAACCCAACCCAACCTAACCTATTACCAAAATGGGTTGACAGCGGGTTGACTTGTTTATGATTATTTTAACCTGGGTTGACTCATTTAATTTTAAAAAAATTCTAAAAAAGGACTAGACTATTTAAAAAAAAATTGAATAAAACACAACCACAAATACAAACAAATTGTTCAAAATTTGAATAAAACACAACCACAACAAATATATTGTTTAAAATAAGTTGGATTAGACTTTGGAAGTGATAATGGAGTAATGGACTAAAGAGTTTTCTTAGGGTTCATAATTATTAAGAGTAATGGAGGCGATTGGAATGTGGAGTTTCATCTCACGATGGTAGGATTTTTAATTAAGAATAAGGGGTTGTTTGTTTACCTCTTAATAGTTCCATTAAGAGGCAACCTCTGAATCGTTAAGAGGTTAATCTTGTTTGGCAAAAAAAAAGTCTGCCTCTTAATGGTTTTAAAACCCTCTGAATGATTTTGTATCATGGATCTCCCTTGACCATTAAGAGCCCTAATTTCATCGTACACAATTACCAAACAATTATATTTCATTTTGCACTATATCATGAGAACCTCTTAATCATTCTGACCACTTAATCATTCTATACCAAATCATTCAGCAATTGTCAAACAGCCCCTAAAACAAAATAAAAAACTAGAATACTAGATATAATATTAAGAATAAAATAAAATTAGATAATATTTTAAATGGGTTGAAAACGGGTCAAAAAATTCAACCCAACTCATTTATTTAAATGGGTTAGACAGGTTGACCCATTTATTTAAATGGGTTAAAAATCTCAACCCAACCTGCTAATTTCGGATTAGATTCGGGTTGATTTAGCGGGTTGGGTCATTTTTTTCCACCCCT